CGGAGGGCGGCTGCTGTGGTCACTCAGGAAGGGGCCTTGCCCCGTGATGGACAGGCGGCCCGCGGGGGTCCAGCGCCGCAGTGACCTGCAGGCTGCCGGGGCGGACCATTGTCTCATTGGCTGGACCTGGGCCAGGAGAGACCTCCACGCGCAATGGCACAGGCGGGCACGGGGGCGTTGAGCCCAGCTGAACCATCCGGGCGGCCCTAGCTGCCATGGCCCTGGAGGCCCAGCGGTTGGGGTGCAGACCCTACTCTGCTGGGTAGCAGGCTGCTTTACCCACCAAGCCTCCAAAAAGGGGGTTGTCAGGCGCCTCTTCCCGGCCCAGTGTGGGATGTGAGCTGCGTGTAAAGCGCCCAGTGCAGCCACACCCGCAACTAGCCCTGGCCAGGTGTCAGCCGTGGCCAGGTGTCTGCCGTGGGCAAGTGTCAGCTGTGGACAGGTGTCTGCCCTGGGCAGGTGTCAGCTGTGGCCAGGTGTCCGCCGTGGGCAGGTGTCAGCTGTGGCCATGTGTCTGCCGTGGCCAGGTGTCTGCCGTGGGCAGGTGTCTGCCCTGGGCAGGTGTCAGCTGTGGCCAGGTGTCCGCCGTGGGCAGGTGTCAGCTGTGGCCATGTGTCTGCCGTGGCCAGGTGTCTGCCGTGGGCAGGTGTCTGCCGTGGGCAGGTGTCAGCTGTGGCCAGGTGTCTGCCGTGGGCAGGTGTCAGCTGTGGAACAGGTGTCTGCCATGGACAGGTGTCTGCCCTGGGCAGGTGTCAGCCGTGGCCAGGTGTCTGCCCTGGGCAGGTGTCAGCCGTGGCCAGGTGTCTGCCCTGGGCAGGTGTCAGCTGTGGCCAGGTGTCAGCTGTGGCTAGGTGTCAGCTGTGGACAGGTGTCAGCCATGGACAGGGGCTCTGCTGTTCTCCACAGCGCCCTGTATTTTTCTGGGTCTCCGCCTCCTGTGAGTGGGTGGGGACTGTCGGGTTGCCCAGAACTGCCCCAGTTCACGCTTCGCAATCAGCAGCATCCCTCTCACTCTCAGAAGTGCCCCGTTTGGCGGTACGTTCCTCCGATGATGGCCCTGTCCGTCGTCGTAGCGGATAAGCAGCCCTGGAGAGCTCCTTTGAGGTGGTGGCTTCACACGGCTGTGCCTGGATCCCTGTCAAGCAGGAGGGCCCGGTGAGCACCTTGGGGGCCGCTGTGGCTCAGATGAGGACGCTGAGGCCCAGAGAGAAGGGACTGGCCCCGGGGCAGCTGGATGGGCGACCTGCCACCGAGTGGTTCTGGACTCGCCCACCAGGCGCTTGGGCTAGCCAAGGCCTACAGAGTGGGGGTGGGGATGTGTGGTTCTCGTGCCGATGGCAGCCGGCAGAGGTGGCTCTGTGGCAGAGGCTGGGGGTCGGCCAGGGGCCCCGCAGCCGGACACCTGGTGAATGGATTGGGCCAGACCGAGGGCGAGGTGGCAGCAGAGGCCTGGGTGGTGTCCGGGTGAGAAACGGCGTGGGAAGATCCTGCTAGCAGCGCGTGTTGGGGGATGAGGGAGGTGGTGCAGGAGGCTGTCCCGATTGGGGTGGTCCTCGCAGGGGTCCCCCTGGATTGGGGAGAAGAGATGAGCACCCAGATGGAGGCGCTGGGAGGGAGGCCCCTGTGGGCCGAGGGGAGACTGTGTCTTCAGCTCTGAGACTCCAGGGGGTGTGAGCGCCTCGGGGCGGCTGCACGCGATGGAGAGAGCAGGCAGACGGGGACCTGCTGGCGCCACCCCAGCCCAGCCGGAGCTGCCAGCCCCTGGGGAGGCCTCCCCGGTGACAGCACGTGCTGCACGAGGCGCTCCGAGCTCACGGCTTGAAGTAGTTGTGCTCGATGATCCTTGTGAGTGAGGCTGTTGGCAGGGCAGGGCCAGCAGGAGGTCCTGGTGAGAAAGGCGGGGGGGGAGGACGGAGGTTCCTGGCTGGGAAGCCATTAGGCCCAGTGGGGTGCCTCCTCTGAAAATGTCGTGTTATTTGTCTTCACTCTGGAGGTGAGGGAACCTGCTGAGTGATCCCAGGTGCTCTGACCAGACCCCTCGGATGGTGAGGGCGCTCGGTGATGAGGGCACAGCCTCAACCAGGTCCTGGTCTGGGCAGGAAGCCCAGCCCAAGGGGGCGCATGTGGTGGGCCCCCGGCACAGACCAAGCATCTGGGGGCCTGAGGCCCAGCTCGGGGCCCAGCCCAGCCAGGCCTGGGACGGCAGAGACGAAGGGGAGCAGGGGAGCCTGGCTGTGACCAGAGGCCAAGGCCGAGCTGCACTGGGAGGGGAGGTGGAGGCTGGCAAGGGTCTGGACAAGTGGCTGGCCAGGTCGAAGGGCACAGACTGCAGGGAGCCGCGGGCCCGGGATGAGAGGAGGCGAGGGCCTGGCCCAGGGCCGGCAGGGGTAGTCATCTTGCTGGCACCTCCATCCTGTTGCGTAATAGGAGCTTCCCCTCTGCTCACGGCCACAGCCCCTTGGGGAGTGGCCCTGGGCGCCCCCTGTGCCCTGGCCCTGGGCAGGAACGCGGGCTGGAGGCCCCTGCCTGACGGGCCAGGGCTCCGGTGCCTCCTGGAGGCTGGTTTTGTGCTTTTTTGTTCTGGACTTGGCCTGTGGGCGCCTGCTTACTTGCACAGGTGTTTAAACATGGCTGCTTGAGCCGGGGAGAACACACCCACCGACCCACCCTCCTGGCCCTCCAGGAGGGGCTGTGGCTCATGCTCTGGGCAGTCTGAGGGCGCCTGGGTTCCAGGGTGAGTGGGGAGGCTCTTGTGCTCAAAGCCCCCTCCCAGGGCTCCCCACCCCAGCACCTGGGGTTGCCCTGCACTGGGACGAGGACCGGCCTGGGACCAGCCCTGTGCAGCCAGTGCCCTCACCCTGCAGTGCGTCCAGCTGGCAAGGTTGAGAGTGAGCCTAAAAATAGACTCGCACCCAGGGCTGTAAAATCCCCTGGGCAGAGCGCGGGAGAAACAGGCTGGGCTCCAGGGTCCTGGTCACTGGGTCAGGCCTTGGGCTGGCGCTTCCTCCTGGCTCACACCCCTCCCCCGCCCTCGCCCTGCTGGCTGCGTCCCCAGCACCAGCTCGCTCACCCAACCTCCAGGACCAGGAAGCTGGGCGGGTCCTGGGCAGGTTCTGGGCAGCCATTGGGCTCCTCACCCTGGAGGCAACCCTGATGGGAAACTGAGGCTCGTGGAAGCAGCATGCCAGGCCCGGCAGGTGCGGGCAGGTGGGGTTCACCTGAGAGGCGCTCTGTGGTTCTGGAAATGGGTGTCAGCCGCCGGCACCTTCCGTACCACCCGACTCTGGGGAGGGGCTCCCGGGCAGCTTTCCGGGTGCTGGGACTCAGGTGCTCCAGGTCATGCCTGCTGCATCCCCAGCCCAGACTCTGGCAGACCCACCCTTGGGGTCCCCCCACTAGTGAGGCCAGAGCAGTTTGTCGTCAGCTTAGAGGGAGGGAGCGGCACCCCACGCCCTCCCCTCTCGGAGGCCCCTGGAGAGGTGACCTGCCCCGTGTCCGGTTTCCCTTCAGAGGCTGAGGGATCCGGCAGCCGAGCGTGAGGACAGACCCAGCGATGACCAGGTGGGTTTTAGGCCTCAGAGCAGCCTCCATCCGTCCTGGGGGCAAGGGGCGTGGGAGCCCGCCTGGTCCCCAGACTCTCCTCATGTGCCGGGTTCCCCAGTTCCCCCGTCTCCAGAGTCGTCTACAACGGCAAGAGGAACAGCAGCCCCCGCTCGCCCCCCAGCAGCAGCGAGATCTTCACCCCGGCCCACGAGGAGAATGTGCGCTTCATTTACGAAGGTACAGGTGCCCCTGGCCCCCCACTCCCCCCGGCCTTCGGGGCCCAGGCAGGCGGGTGATGGGGCCTGTTGGGGAGAACAGGTTCTTGTAATGAGGGCGGTCGGCACTTGGGGTTCCTAGTGGGCACTGCCCTCAGAGGAGGCAGAGCTTGTAGCTGGTTGGGTTATTTGTGGGGGTGGCGGTGGGGGAGGGCTGTGGAAGACAGATGTGCACTCTCGGGGACCCAGTGGTGTCCCGGAAGTGGGGCTGTGTGCCTGGAGGGGTGAGCGCTGAGCCTCTGGGACCGCCGCCCTGGGCATGCATCACAGGATGAGGGGACAGGCCGCTCGAGGAGCTGGGCAGGAGGCCGAGGGGGTGGTCCAGGCGGGTCTCCCTGAGGGAGTGGAGTGCCCTGGGGATGACTGCAGGTCCAGAGCAGGCCAGTCTGGGGGCCACATGCTGTGAGTGGGGAGAGGCTGTGAGGACGCCCTGGGGGCGGTGCTCTCCCGGGGGATGCTGGCGGGACATTGCCCAGTGGGCTGGAGCTCTGACTGCATCACCATCCTCAGCCTGGCAGGGCGTGGAACGGGACCTTCGGAGCCAGATCTCGGGCAACGAGAGGGGCCTGGTGGAGGAGTATGTGGAGAAGGTCCCTAACCCCAGCCTGAAGAGTGAGTGGGCGGAGCCAACGGGGGCGGGCGTACAGGGGGCGGGCCTGGCGGAGAAGGTCCCTAACCAGCCAGGAGAGTGAGTGGGCGGGGCCGGTGGAGAAGGTCCCTAACCAGCCTGAAGAGTGAGTGGGCGGGGCCGGTGGAGAAGGTCCCTAACCAGCCTGAAGAGTGAGGGGCGGAGCAGGAAAGCCCACCTCTTCCTGTTTCCTGACTGGAGAAGCTGGTGGGGTGGGCGGGTCCCAGGGCTTCCGGGGTAGGAGCGGGACCTGGCAGGAGCCGTCTCCTGCCCCCACTGACCGAGCTGCTCCCCCGCACAGCCTTCAAGCCCATCGACCTGAGCGACCTGAAGCGCCGCAGCTCGCAGGATGCCAAGAAGTCGTAAAGCCCGCGGGGGGCCTCTGGG